TGGACCTCTATCAACTCTCATCTCTAGAAACACTGGAAGAAAACTATAATCTAACCTTTTTAAAACTCTGGCAGTTAATCGGAAGCTTGCAGCAATCTAGGAAGTTACTTAATTACTACAAACATCTAACTCTGTAAGAAGAATAAAACTTGTGGCATTATAGCTTTCTGGGTTCCTAGCCCAAATTCTGAAGCTCTGTGGGAGCGCTCTAAAGCAAAAGCAGTCAATCCCAAGGAGCAGAATGGAGTTTCAACCTTCAATGCCTCAATCTCAGAGAGTTGTTGCTATTTTTCACATTTCAAGGTTCTCTGGGAAAAATGCATTGGCACAGACCTTTTTATTTAATGTAACTTGTAACTCACCCACTGCAAAATGCCTTTTTCCTGGAGATGTTTATCAAAAGTATTTATATATCTTTTTTTTTTAGCTTGACAAGTACCTGAGGCAATGTATAACTGTGAGAACAAATAACAGACTCGTATTAATTCGTAAAAGGAAAACTGGTAGATATACCTGTTCATAGGGTCTAGGAAAACTTTTGTATGCTCCTAGACATCTATGGTCACATGTGTGTATGAGATTGTGAGTATACCATGTATGTGTGCTCAGAAAAGACCTACGAAAGCCTCCTGAACTCTATCTGGCTCACAAACACATTGGAGAGTTAGTCTAAGAATTTATAGATACCACTTCTTTTCTGAATAAGGAGATATCCCCATGATGTCAAATGAGGATTAATGCAGATATTGTGGATTTAGTCCATCAGTCAGCCTTACAAAATACAGTAAAAAAGTATGGTGGTGAAGAGTGAATATTTCCAAAACTCTCACATTAAACCACTTTACTTGTCTAGTTTTCATTGCAAATTATAAAATTTGTAAAGAAACAAACAAAAAAAACATAGCTCAGACAAAGACAAAAAGTAACCAACTGAAACTTGGTAAGGAAGCAAAGTAGGTAAAGCCTTTAAATCAGTTACTTAAAACACATTACAAGAAATATGTTGTTGTTTGTTTTACTCTTTGCTGTTTTGGGGGGGGGCAGCACAGCTCCCAAATAAATTGCACACGGAGCCTTATTCTTACTTATAAATGCCTGGCCTTAGCTTGACTTGCTTCTTGCCAGCTTTTCTTAACTTAAAATTAGTCTTTCTGTCTTTGGCCTTGGGGCTTTTATCTTTCTCTATTCCTGTAAACCTTTTCTTTTCTTCCTATACCATGTCTGGCTGTGTAGCTGGGTGGCTGGCCCTTGGAGTCCTCCTCCTTCTCTGGCTACTTCTTCCCCATCCTGGTTTCTCATTCTATATATCTTCTCCGCCTGCCAGCCCAGCCCCACCTCTCTTTTCTCCTGCCTTGCTATTGGCCGTTCTGTTCTCTATTGGACCATCAGGTGTTTTAGACAGGCAAAGTAACACAGTTTCACAGAGTTAAATGCAGCATAAACAAAAGTAACACACCTTTAAATACTATTCTACAACAGAAATTGAGGAAACTCTGTTCCAAGAACTAAAAAGAAAAATCACAAAATAAAAATACAATCAAATCAAAAATATTACCAGAGAAATAGTAATTATAAAAGAAAAGAACCAAGGAAGAACAATTCTGGGATAGAAAAAGTAGAACAATTGAAGAGTTCACTAGAACACTGGCATCTACCTTCTCTGGATGTCATGGCAAAGGACTACAAGGCACACCTAAGAACCACCTCACCCTTCTGAAAGACAGTTGTGACATTAGTGCAGTAGACTCAAACACAAGATGCTTTTTGGTCCTCACTCTTTCCCAAAGATCAAGAAGTTTCCTGCATCAGCTTCATCAGCTCTTGTAGCTTTTGACTGTTGTCCAGGGGCCTTGATAATGGTACTTCAGTGCCTTTCTCTATTTCACATTACCTTTGCTTTTCTGTCTCAGATGCTGTCTAACCTCACCCTCCCTTTTATGAAGAAACTTGTTGCACCAAGACCTGACCTACGTTATCTCCTCCGTCCATAGCATGATATGAGGGATTTCAGTTCAGTCATGTAGTTTTCTGAAGTTTTTATCCCTTTTGTTAAAAATAGATTCTTTTCTACTCTATTAATTAGAATAAAGCAGCATTATTGACTTTTGCAGGTAATCTAGCTGATAGGAGAATGTAGGAGTTTATGTGTAGTCGGGAGGTTTCTTGGGTCCCGCACAACATACAGAATGACATCCTGCAGCATTTATATTCTTATACCTAAATGGAGGGATTTGTCAAAGGTCAAAGGACGTAAAGGGAATGGCTGTGATATAGCAGTGTGCAGTTATGGGAGTTCCAACACTGCATTTCTGCTCTGTGTTCTTATGCTTACAATATGAACAAATGTTATTATTGCAACATAAGAAGAGTCAAAATTGGAGGGTAAAATTCTAGAAACATTGATGAGTTAGCAGCTTTTCTCTCTTCATTTATTATTATTTTTTTTTTATATTAGAAACATTCTACATGGTCACAGAAACAGGGAATAAAGTTGAGAAATGGTAACTAGAGATAAGGATTAGAGTGGATATAAAAGGAAAGGGAAGACTTCCATTTGCAGAAAAAGCAAGAACGGCAGAATGAAAGCCACCGAGTAAGAAAGAGACCAGAGAACACAGAACAAGGTGGAAACACTATACAGGTGATTATAGACACTGCAGTGATATAGTGTTCCCATAGACATTGCTCTCATTGTCACTGAAATTGCATTTTACAGCTAGTCAGAATCACCACTTGCATCTATGTTGTACACCCTTGATGGTGGTGCTCCAAGGCTGTTTGTTACTTTGCATTAAAGTTCTGCCAGGAGAAATATAAGATATTTAACAAGTTCACTGTGATAATACCTGGTGATAGCCAAAATGGTTCAAAGTTTGGCAATATTCTGAATTGCTTGGCAGAGTCGAGAGAGTATAAAAATGGTAGCTCCCGGGAAGTAGCATCAATTTGAGTCCATGATGTCTAGACTCTGTGTATATTCACAGGTAAGCTTTATTTTCTTGAAGTTTTGAGGATTAAGGAATCTTTTACACTCAGCTAGCCAACCCAAGTGAGGTAAATGAAAAGGCAACAGCTCAGTCACACTATGAGGCTCTAGAAAAGGACAATTACCTGAAAGGGAAAAAGTTTGAATAAGACATGGTATCCATGCCTATAGTTCCAGTACTCAGGATGCTGAAGTAGAAAAATTCTAAGTTTATTGTCACCCAGGGTAGGATAGTGAAGTCCTGTTTCAAAATGAAGTTAAAAATACAAATACATCATGCATCTTGATCCCATTCATTTCCTCAACCCTTTGCATCTGCCCTCTGACCCTGCAATCCCCTCCCCAAATTTTAAGAGAAAAAAAGGAAAAAAAATTAAAACTCTCATCATGGAAGCTGCTGTGTGACATGATGACTCACACAGTAAACCCCTTTGTCCATATATCTTTACTTACAAGTGTTCGTGGCAAAGAGTCATTGGTCTGGTTCACGGCCTCTGGTTTCTACTACACTGTCTATGTTGGGCCCTCACTGAGACTCTTCTTGGATATCCAGTTGTTGCCCTCTGTTGTGGAGATCCTGCAGCTTTGGTTCTGCAGGTCAGGCCTCTTCACATGGTCTAGCAGATCATAGATGGTATGGATGTTGGAGTGGGCAAACTCATAATCCTGGTTCTGGGCCTAGGCAGCTGCAGGGTTGGTCTGCCAGCCAGTACTCCCCTGTCCTCACCACCAGGGTGCGCTCTACAGCATTGCCCTGGCTAGTTCACCCTTGCAGCAATGAGATAGAGACTGGGCTAGTTTTCCTGCTCACACACTCTCAGGGTCAGCTCTCCCCCACCTTCACCATCAGGGCCATCTCTACTATGTTGCCCAGGTGAGGTACAGGTGCCGCTCCTGAGTGCTGCAGCTGGTGAGGGGTTATGGAAAGCCCTCCAGCTCTTCTGATCCCAAGACCAGGTCCTCCACCCTTCTCAGGCATTGATCGAGGGGAGGCATCTCTCCTCTACCCATGCCACTACATGTCAGATGAGTAATGGTGACAGCTCTCCCTTGCTCGAAACATTGGGGCTCAGTCAATCATACCCCCGACAAGGTCAGCTCTGCTGTGCTACCTAGGCGAGGAGTAGAGCCTGCTTCTCTGAGTGCTGCAGCTGGCAAAGAGGGAGGTCCTCTCACTTGTCTGTTGCAGGTAGTAGTGGGGGGAGGGTTAGGGAGGACATCTCTCTCCCACCCACACCACCAGGTGACAAATGAGTAGTGGAGACAGCTACCCCATGCTTACATCTTCGGGGTTGGCTCATCCACACCTCCGCCAATAGGGTTGGCACTCCTGCGTTGCCCAGGTGAGGTGCATGGCCTGCTCTCCTGAGTGTTGCAGCTGGTGGGGATCCGGACAGCTCTTCTGCTCTTAGGACCACAGAGCCAGCTCTCCCTCCTGCTTCAGGCATTGATGGGTGGGGGGGGGCGGGTGGGGGATCTTAACAAAATGTATACAACTGATAAGCAGCATACAAGTGCAAATAAGTGAATGTAATGGCATTGTTATTAATAGAGGAAACATTCTAACTGAATAAAGAACATTATTATTTATACATTTTATAGTCATTTTGTTACCGCTGAGCAAAATGCACAAAAACTAAAAAGTGGGAGTTTTGGTCTCAATAAAAGTAAAGAAAATTACATACCAAAGCTACACTTTCATATTTTTATTCCTCAAGCACTAAGGATACTTTTAGCAAAATGGCAATCTGACATCAAGTCTGAGTAAACAGATTTGAAAAGCTTAAAAACTTGGAAATAGATTTTTGTTCCCAGGTTTAGTACAACATAACGCCACCTCCAACAGTGAAGAAATACATGTGAGATTTTACAAACAAGCATCGATCATAAATCCACAAACATTTGTCTTGTATTATTCACCGTGTGATATTTACATTTCTTTCACGTTGCGTTTTTACAGGAGGCGATGTCCGATTTCTGTTAGTAAAGTCTCTCACTTGGTTCTCGTTTGCAGTTTGGTTGCCACGAAGGAAACAAACAGTGCGAGATCACGAAGTGCTCCAATGTCACCTTCCGATTTTCTGGACAAGCTGATGGGGAGGACATCGGGGTATGATGCGAGGATCCGGCCTAACTTCAAAGGTAGCTGCTCTGTTGACTTCCTCGGGTGCAGGGTGCTTAAAGAAGTTAGGTTTTCAAATCGATTCTACCAGAAACTGGAACGCTTACTTCAAATAGTCTTTGACGTGCTGTATTAATAAGAGTTGTGCCTGCAAAAGAAAAGCCTGTTTTCATGTTCGGAGATAGCATAATGTGCCCGCTGTGGACAAACAGTACTATTCTCTCCTTAATAGTTATTTGTTATTTGTTTGGTTTTGATTTTTCTGAGACAAGGCCTTGTTATGTATTCCATGTAGCCCAAGCCAGTATTAATCTCATGGCCATTCTTTTCCCTCAGTCTCAACAATGTAGTATTATAGGTGTACACCACTATGCCTGGGTTCTAAACAGCTGTATTTCTTATATCAACCTTTTATTACAGGAGTGTGTGTATGTGTGTGTGTGTGTGTGTGTGTGTGTGTGTGTGTGTGTGTGTGTGTGTGTGTATTAATGCCTATCTGTTATCTCACCATCTGGAACAAAAGCTTAACATCTAGAGTTTAGGTTTTATTTATTTCTATCTAAGTCTCTGTAAACCTGAAGCAACTAGAAAAAAAATAAATTCCTTTTTTATATTAAGGATGGGAATTACATGGACATAGTTTTTGAGCTCTGGTTTGCCTGGAAACCTTTGTTGTAAAATTAATAGGCCCTTGTTATAGCAGTTTATGTTTCAGAAAACACTCATTATAAAATGCATATACTTGCATCCTGATGGCTTGTCCACTATTGGCATCTTCTATCGATAGAGTTAATTTATCATAATTGATGGACTAGAGCCCCTCCTTTGCTCTAGAGCTCTTTCTTTTGTTGAACTGTTTTCGTGGGCTATACAACGCCATAAAAGCATGTTATGTTTCTACCATTTCTACATCGTAAGTATGGTTTCACTGTACTAAAATTCTAAATTTTAAAATGATAGGAAAAATCATATTAATTAATATTTTTTATTTGTATCAAACCACCCAATTTTCTATGAGTGGTAGGATGCAATTTAGTTCAGAACAGTCGAGTTGATTTGCACAGGCATCATGGCACCATTTGTACTTCTCCCCCGATCCTTTTCTCTTTCTTTTCATTCTGTCTTTTATTTAAGTATATTTTCTCTCTTGAAAATAAAATTGGAAAGGAAAGGCTTTCCAAGCCAGACCTTTGCTTGGTGTTGAGTGTTGACTTTTGTCATGTACAATGGCTTGGCTCTGAAATATCCCTTACAGACACAGGTGTTTGAGTACTTGGGCTCCAGCTCTTGGGGTGTGATATAACTTCCAGTTGGTAATATCTAGCTGGAGGAAGGCTTGCTGGAATTGAAAAATTTAGCCTGGTCTGAGCTCTCTGCTTCACTGCAGACTTGTGAGGAAGCCATGCTTTTAGTGACTGCCACCGACCAAGCTGGTCCCAGCCATTATGCTTTCCTTGCCAGGATGAACTGTATATCCCAAAACTGTGAGCCAAATAAAGCCTCCTTCCCTTCCTTCATGGTTTCTGTAACAATGAAAGTTCCTAATATACCATGATCACCAATGCCAGGAAGAAGGCTTTTAGTCTTGAGGCACTGAAAAGTATTGTGTTTGTCCCAATTGTCAACAAAGTTCTTTACAATGTTTCAAAGTTCTCCAAACTGATAGCAGGAGACTTGTATCACAGGAAATGAGGAAGAAGGATGCTTCTGAGGTCCTTTTCCTCATTCCTGCTCCATTCAGTCTTCGATTGTATTCATACTTTATCTGTCAATCATCCTTAACAGCCTTTTACTTCTTATGCCATTAAACTAATTATGAACTTCCTCCCATTTTCTTTGGCACATTATTTAATTCTCACTTTTATTTGGCACTACCATCCTCACTAGACAGAATGAAAACTGTTTTCAAGTCTTTATTGAAATGAAATTTTTCTGGTACCATTTGAAACTTAAAGATCTTAATAGCACAATTGAATAGCAAATAAAAGATTAATCATATTATAATAACACTATATTCAACTAAAATATTCTAGCAGCCACCCTTGGAATTTGCTTCTTTTCATTGTTACTAATTTTGGTCCCTTCCATTGGCCTTTCATGATCTTTAATATAAATTGAACTTCAGCAGAGAGTACTATGTCAATCACTCAATTCTGAAATCCTCACAAATATTTATTTTATACTTGTTGCTCTCTTAGTCTATCTCTAATGTTCATTCTTTATATAAATAGAAATAACATTATTTGTTTTCACAGTATCCTTGTGTTTTCTCTCTACTTGCTTTTTTTCTCTATATTAATACCTTTCTGAACATATTACAAATCAATTAACACTGCTAGTGTCTATCTGACTATATTTAGACATATAAATATACATAGATAATATTATATGTATATTATCTGCATGATAACATTTAATGTATTGTCCCTATATATTTTTAATATAAAATCAATATTTTAAAGATTTTATTTTCTTATTTTAACTATTCCTATGCACCAAGACACTATTTTTCTTGCTACTTTGGGAAATTTTTTTTTTGCATGTCTACATATTGTAACGTCATTGTGACAGAGTCTGTTGAGTAAGAACTTTTCTAAAATCATAAATGTCTACATGTTCAAAGTATATTTTACTTTTGTTCTCTTTTTACTTTTAAAACATATGTTTTAACTGAAATAGAATTACATCACTTTCCCATTACCTTTCATCCTTCCAGCCCCTCACAGATACCCTCTCTCTTATCACTCCTGAGTCCCCCCCCAGTTTCAACATGATAGACTCTTTCTTTCATTGTTGTGTTGCATATAGATTTGTACAAATACACTAACATTTACATTACTGTTGTTGCATGTAGATAGACACAAATGCACAAATATATAAATACATTCTGGTGAGTCTGTTATTGTTGATTGTGTATATATGGCTCCAAGGCCTACCACTCTACATTTGACAAACACAAAGCAAGCTCACTCCAGGGAAATTCTGATTCTCCTCCCAGCAGTCATTAGTTCCCGCTAGTCCTTTGTGTAGGGGTGAGGTCACAAGAAATTCTCCTTTCTTGTTATCATATCCATTGATAGTCTAGGAAAAAACTGTTTTACAGATGATGTGTTGGTCCTCTGACAATCTTTTTATCTTTTCTTCCATAATATTTCCTGATCCCTAGATGGAGGAGCTGTGATTTAGATATATTTATTCGAGTTGGCTCCTCGCAGTCTGTTGATGTACCTTTAAATTACTATTTATATAGTAATTATGTCATTTTAATTTCAAAACATTCTCTAACTAGCAAAATAACAAGTTCAATACAAAAAAACCCACCTTTTTTCATTAAAATATTTCAATGTGAGTTGGTGATCTGAAGTTATGACACTTAATTCTTCATTAGAAGCGAGATCATTAGCTTTGACAACCACTAAAACTAGCAACATAACAAGAAGATACCATCTCCATCTAATTTCCAAATTCCCAATCATACTTCATCAGCTATTTAAATAATGATGGTTCCCTAACAATTTTATCCACTTTACAATCACTGTCTCCTTTAGTCTGAAACAGTGTTTCATTTTTTAAAATTAAAAATAGATATTTTATGTACACTATATTCTCGTTAGTTTCTTCTCTCTCAATTGCTCCCATATCCTTCCAATCTTCCTACTTATCCAAATCCATACTCCTTCTTTCTCTCTCATTAGAAAACAAACAGACATCTAAAATATCTTGGCATTAAAATATTTCTTCAGTTACTTGGAAGAATATAAATTAATTACCTTGTACTTGTCAAGTATTTCCTCAACTGTTTTTTTTTTAAATAGTACATTTTGGCTGAAGTTTTACAGGTTGCATCCTATCATACGTAGGTCATGTTGATATTTATCATTACTGATAATTTTCACATGGAGTACTTACATTGTTACTCATTAAAACATATCTACATATAGGAGCTATATCAAACATACATGTACAAGCACTGCATACAGACATGTTTGCAAGTTTCTGTTTTTACTTCCTTGTGTGTGATCACTGAAGACCATGACTTTACATGATACTTACAATACTATAAAGTTTATTCCAGTTTCTCAGTTTCCGTATTTTAACTTTCTCATCTGAGAGCACAAACCTGACTCCCATTACCTTCCATATAATTATTTATTTGATCAAAATGTAATGAATTCTGGTGCTACATCATTTCCTTTGTGCCCCACCTTGGTTGCCCTCTAAAATCCTGCTTGGTTGTATCATCCTGAGAAGACTGTCATTCAAATTCCCCCTCTACATGCTAGAAACACACAGGACACACTCCCTATCCTTTCTTGGGTCTTACATGCCTCACCAGTTTCTCACTGCATTAACACACTTCTTACCTGATCTCTACCTAACATGTCATCTCTTTCAGACTTTCTCTACAGTTAGTGCTTCTCTCCTGCAGTAGGTTACCAAAACTCTCAGATACCCCGGCACAGAAACCTATCTTATAATGCCCACCTGAAAAAAAAAATAGAACTGCATTTCTGTGAAGCAATAGAATGAACAGAATTCTATTTTTATTCTTAAAATGTGAATTATAAATCTTTATTTATAGTCATCAAGAATATTTTGCTCATTAAAAACGAGGACCGTTCTCTCAAGTGACATGTATATGCACTTAACTAAAATAAAAACAAATGTTTAAGCTTGGTTATTTTTCATGTTCAATTATACTGTCTTTAAGAAGAGTAAAGCTTTGGTACAGAATTCTGCTAAAAATTCTTTAGAGTCATTCTTACGAACATTTGGGTTGTTTGATTGTTTGCTCTACATTGGCCTAATGAACACTTTCTCCAGTGTGATTAAAAATAACATCATCACCAAGTGTCTGAATTGCACTTTGATATTCTGCCTTTCCTTCATCTCTAAACTTAAAAGCCATGTTCTATGTCTTTAAGGGACATTTAAAAGAAAAATTGCCGCTGAAAACATCTGCAAAGTACTGTCATTTGCTTTTCAGGCCAAGGATGTCGACTGTAATGAACAATTTAGA